TGCAAAAAGCAATTAAATATTGAATAATTGATAATTGTTGATAGGCAAGTAAGGTTTTCACTATAATCAGAAATTGTATTTATTAAGGCTATATCACAGCCATTAAAAGATATCTTTTGCAAATTCGAACCAGCCGTTTTAATTATTAAAGAAAAAAAAGGATTAAGTACAGAATAATGGGCCCCAGAGATGATTAAATTTTTGATTCGAAATTGACAATCCGAAGATAAAACTGGTATAGGACTTGGATCTATTCGTAAGTTTAGTTTATAACAATAAAAGAATTTCAAAGTATCCAAGTTAAAAGATGATAAGCAAGAAGAGATTAAGAGAGGGATGTCATAGAAATCACTTATTTCGAGATGTCTTAAAGAATGAGATTGACTTGAGAGTGCAGAAAAAAATAAAGGTGATTGAGAATTAGGCCAAGAAAAGAAAATGGTAAGGGATTGAAGGTTACGTTGTGAATTTATCAACTGGAATAAATGTTTACATGTTTCAGATTGATAAGAAGTACAAGTAACCGGTGAAGTGATAAAAAGTTTTTGAAGATTATGAGTATGTAAAGATAATTTCTCATAAAGTAGTGAAATATTTAATGTATTTACAGGGAAATTTATATGTAACTCGGATAATTCTGAAAAAGTATGCCAGATATCTTTTACAAATGGATCTAAAGGGAGATGCATAAAACAACTTCTATTAGGAGTATAATGATAACTTAGGTATAAGGTATATAAGCCAGCAGAATGATTTAAGATATGTTGACTGATTATTAGATTACAATGAAGAAATGTGTTTTGAGATTCAGTAATATCAACACCAGGTTTAATGGTAGCGTTATACCAAGAGTATAATGCATTGTCGAAATAAAGACAATTCAAAACTCGCAAATATTTTGGATAATCAAACAAAGTTGGTTTGAAATCTTGAAGATTTAAATTGTTGTTTATCAAATTTATCTTTTGAATTTCTGGAAGACCTTTTACATAGGTGTGAATAATTTTTATTTCTTTATTATGAGATAAGTGATTGTTAAAGACATCACTCCAAAGTAGAGGAATAGCAGATCTACACCATGATCGATTGACTAAAGCACAAGAGAAAAGTGCTTGATGATCATCGAACAAGTGACAAATTATTTCACTAACATAATCAGGAATATTAAAAAGAATAAATGAAGAATCCATTTAAGTTGAAATTTCAATTTGTTAAAAGGTGCGAGTCAGATCAACTTGAATTTATATTAATTGCAGACCATGTGCTACTTAAATTGGTACTTGCAGCCACTTTGGGTAATACTAATATTTACGCTGTGTATTTGCATAAAAACCATCACTTAAATAGTTATTATTTCATAACAATAGCAATACAAGGCGACAGGTTATTGGATATTCTAAAGCAGTACTTACCAATAATGTTTTAGATCGTGGGGGTAAAGTGTAAATAGACCAGCTGATTTGAAAGCTCATAGCCAAGTCAGGCCATAGACCAGTAAATCCCATATGATAATGAGGCCATAGATCCAGTGAATTCTAATAAATGAACTTTACTGGGAAAATCGTTACGAAATCACACTGGAGTTCCAGCGTCGTTCAAAATCGAGGGCGTAGTCATATGAATTTCCGACTTTATTCTTATTATTACTTAATCATTCGAAGTATCGTATTGGTATTATTAATTAAATGTTCATGTGATTTATCACTCGATTATTTCTCAACGCCCGGGATCTACGTAGTCCTTAAAAGTTTGCTCACGTAATATCAGATATAAAAATAAAACCCCTTAATCACACAATTGGAACAAACGACAGGCAGAAACGGCACTTTCTACATTTGAACTTTGTCCGAAACAAGCTTGGAATCAGTTTGAATGAAGTCGACTAAAGAACCGTGTTCAGCAAACTTTTTAACTGATCCGTTGAGTATTAGCGGAAACGAAGTTTTCGCTTACACATGTCGTAAGTTAAGTTGATTCGGAATTTTTAAGGTTAGGGTTTGATTCCATTCCCACTTACACCATACGCATACGGTATTTTTGCTAAATACCCGTAATCTTAATATAGTGATTTGGGATACTTTAGGATTAATTAAATCCTAAAACATCCAAATTGACACAAAGCCACACTGATCTCGGGATTCCGTAATTGGATAGCTCGTTCATTGAGACAGTCATTTGGGTAATCAAATGATCCAAAACGGACCAGTGGATCAGAAGCTATTTACTGTTAAAATTTGGTTTTTTTTGAATGACAAAAATAACAAATGACCTATGTCATTTTGTCACTAAAATTTTAAATGATATTGTCATTTGCCAACCCTGGGTTTTACAACATCGACTTAGCGGGTCAATAGTTGAGGTCTCGACACATTTCACAGACAATTCATTCACGAACAGGTTTATTTCACTGACAGATTGCTTCACATACAGCCTAACTTCGATATAGTCACTCTTGACATAATAAAAAAAAAAAAATTCTATTTTCGCTTTATATATCAATTGTTATACGTAAATAAAATTAGCCTTTGTATAGGCACCATCACCTTAGTCACATTGAATTTTGGTTACCAACTCGGTGATTAACAAGTTAGCGAACAATTCAATTGAATCTGACAAAATTTGGAGATCAGAAGTAACGAAATTCTCAAATGATATTTTAAATAGAGAAGCACCAATAAAATTGAAATTATTGTGGAATCTTATGCAGAAAGCCTAAAGAGATTGAGAGGAAAATTCAAAATGTCTTTTAGTTAAATTTTCTTTATCATTTTTATCGTCTTCGAATCGTTTGTCATCATTTTTTGTCGTCTTTAATCGTTTATTATCGCTTTGTGTCGTCTTCTTATTTTGTTACATGATTTATCATTTTGAAACCGGTTTTATTTTTTTTATTATGTTTTACATTTTATAAAAGAAAGGTATTGATGTTATGATTAAGGTTAGAAAAAAATTTCTGGCTTAATTATTGAAGAATACTTCAATGCTAAATACTATGAATATGAAACCAAAAATTGCAGTAAACGAATCCTGAGTATTTACAAGAATTTGATTCTTCGGTGGAGGTTTGATTGGACGGATTAAGAAAAAGCGCGTTCGCTAGACAATAACGATGGTACATTTAGCATTGTTACTGTAAAATGTGTTTTTGTAAAAAGAAATATTCAGAAATAATTGGAAAAGATCATCCAAAAAAAGCCTATCCCGCTTGTTTGTATCGAGTGCAAATTACTCTTCTCTTAAGCAACCAAAGCCAAATAAAAGGGTATGAGAAAAATTTATGAAAAATTTATGAATATATGCTTAAAAATATTAAAAGATTTGATTCTATATATTTATTTATCACAACTATATTTCAAATTAACATAACCTATCTTAGAACCGGATTCTATAAATTTCCCGACAAAGACTTTCCCGACAATTCACTTGTATTAGTTCACCGTCAGTATCACTTTCCCGACAGTATCATTTTCCCGACAAATTGGCTCGCATTGGGTTAGGGTTAGTTCCAGTCAATTTTGTCAGAATTTTATTTGCTAAAGGAGATATTGTCGGGAAAGTGATACTGTCGGAAAAGTGATATGTCGAGAAACTATTTGTCGGGAAACCAATACTGTCGGGAATGTCGGGCAAGTGAATTGTCGGGAATAGGGATGGGTTCGGTTACGAACGGTTACGATTATTCATAGCCAATTTGCTAAATACTGAGATGATTTTTTATTTTTGAGCTATTAATTAAAGTTGTTCAGAATTAAATTCTTTTCATCCCATCTTATAAGTGGAAAAACGATACCTTCTCTGGGACTCGGAATTTCAAAATTTGTTATCGGCATAGCCGGTTATTAGCCGGCGGTTAATAACCGTTTATGGCGTTACAGCTGTTTTCATTATTCCTGGGACACCTATAATTAGCCGAAAAATTTTTCGGCCGGTAATTTTTTCGGCATAATAAATTCAATAAAAATTATATTTTTGAATTCGTT